GAGAATACAGACTTGTGGTTACCAGGGGGGTAGAGGGTGGGAAGGGATAGACTGGGATTTCAAAATTGTAGAATAGATAAACAAGATTACACTGTCTAGCACAGGGAAATATACACAAAATGTTATGATAAATCACAGAGAAAAAAATGAAAAAAAAAAGGAGGGGGACATGAGAAAGGTTTTGGAATTAATGGCTTTGTTTATAACCTTGATTGTAGCGATGGTTTCATAAGTGTATGCATATGTCGAAACTTATCAGATTGTATATATTAAATAATCAGGATCTTTTGGTATATCAGTTATACTTCAATAAAGCTGTTTTTAAATAGAGAAAAAAAAGAGAAACTATAAGACTGCTTGTCTTCTAGGAGTGCTATAATGTCTCTAAATCCTGTTGAAATTGAAAATGTACAGAGGTTTACCTTTTGCTTCCCACTCTGAAAGCATATTAATTTTAAAGAGTATGCAAAATTCAGACCCATCTCAATCACACAACAAAAGGAGGGGGGAGGGTGATTTTTAAAATTCAAGTAGAATAAAAACTGAAAAAACACTGATAAAATTAAAAGAAGTTCATTTTACCTGCAAGGCCTGGAGATGGCACTGAGGAATTTGGTGACTGAACAGTTCTGTTGGAGGGTGGTCTTGGCTGGCCATGATCTAGACTAGTATCTTTCCTCACAATATTGTCCAGCATAATTGTACTTGAACAGTCAATCTTATAAGAAAAGAAATTATTTCATGGCATCCGACTTTGCAAGTTAAGAGCTACTTTAAATTCATAAGAAAATTTTAATAGTTTAATTACTGTCAAATAATAAAATATACAAATATCATATTTGGGAAGTTTTGATGCATATTTTCCCCATAAACAATCTTGAACAAAGTTTTCACATCTCTTAATATACCATCTTAAAAAATATACTGAGTCACATTATCTCAGAAGTCATAAGCCAGGAGAAAGGAGTATTTTGTGTTGCATCCTTAACAATTAAAACAAAATTTTTTTCTTAATTTATTTGAAAGTAACAAAAGGTACCAATTAGAAGAAAAAACTTTGTGAGAAGGGTAGCACGATTTCACATTTTGCAAATTTCTTTAGTGTCTGGCTTAATAATAGCCACCTGGATTCTTGTATCTGCTTCTGTACTCAGTCTGCTGAGATTTGTGGTTTTGGATGAAGAATATGAAGAAAATCTGGTCTTACCCAGGAAGGACCTTGTGGAATCTCTGAAAAGGTTGTAGGGACCCCCATGTCTTTGGCCTACACTTTGGAAACTGATGCCATGGTTTGCACTAGATAGATGAAGTAAGTCCACACATAACATTTCCAGAACACTAACTTCACTTAAATACATTATTACTGTTTGGTGGGAAAAAAATTGATCACTTATAGATTCTTTCTTTAATGTAAGAGCTATATAAATAACACTTCTTTCCTAATTGACTGCTAGGCCAATATACTGATTGCTATTGAGTAAGATTTTAGTACTTTGGATGCAAGTATTTTAATGTTTAAATACATCATTTATTTCCTAAGAATGTCTCTGTCATTAAAATCCAATTCAATTGTCTAACATAGTTCTAACATTTCTCAACCAAAATTCTTCATGAAAATTAAGTCCTACCGTCCAAGGGCACAGATGGTATATAATGAATTTACTTTTCGCCTCTGCATCTAGAATGGTACTAGTTATGAACCATCCTTGGTAGGATTGAGGATTCAGGAAATAGTCACTCAAATCAGTTTCTTTATTCTGTGGTTCAGATGAGGAATTCCAGTTGCCAGAGGCTCGTGGACAAAGGGTCATCTGTATTTGAGGACTGCAGGGGAAGATGTCCTTCTGGGCGCCCTTTCAGTTGGGGGAGGCGGGAAGTACATAGGGTTATTTATGCTTAATATTCTTTGGGCGTTGCCTTGGCCAATATTTTTCAGTGTGCAAAAAGTACCAGAATGATTGGATTTGTTAGATCTTAATGTAAGAAAAGTTATTTACGTTGTGGAGTAATCCTAAAAGCTAAAATAAAATTATAGGAATGAGACAAAAGAAGTTTTCCTATGTACCACCTATGCATGAAAAATACAGGTATTCTACCCATTTAAAGCATAAAACAACTATTTAAAAAACAAAATAACTGGTAAAGTTATGATGCAACTTTTAGGAACTATTAGTGGATCTCAGTAAGTTGAAAACCAAACTAAACAAACATTTTTAAGTTCTTTCACAATCTTACAAGATTTCTTGAAAGTTTTTAATGTTTGTATGCATGATTACCTAAGCTTGCAGGAGAGAAACAGTAAAACAAGTACCAACTTATGTGTGGAGATCTGCCTATAGAATGTTACATTTTCTGCCTCTGAAAAAGATTTTTTAAGAAGTCATACTGACAAAGTTAGTTTAGAGGGTAAATATACTTAATTTAAATATAAGAGAAATCAGAGGTAATTTTACACTAGTCAGTATAACCTAAAAGAAAATGTTTTCATTTCTGTTATTATATCTGTCTCCATCTCTTCTGATGTCTATTATATTCTAGCCTCCCTCTCTAACCTTATTCTAATATATCACATCCCTGCAGCTCAGCTTTCCAGTACCCCTCCCATGTCCTCACTTCTCTCCTTTCCCAGCTTAGATTCCATATTCCATCACCATAATCCTTCATTTACACTTTTAACTCCAGTGCCCTGAAAGATATTCTGCAGCATGTTCAAGTATCAATATTAATCTCTTTATTTTTCTTGCTGTTACAATATTTCTAAAGGATAAAAGTAACTTCTAAAATCACACACAACCTATAATCCAACAAATCCATGTCTTTTACCAGATTCAAGTTCAGTTAAAATATTGGAAAGATTCTTAGTATGACATTTGTGGATACTTACGTCTGGAAGAGAAGGAAGATTATAGGGACCTCCCACTGGTGAGCTCAAGTCAATCACAGGCGAACCAAAGGCCTTCCCATCATATCCCGCCGCACTAGTAATGGTGGGGCTGGAAGGAGTCGAAGACGTGCTGTTGGCAGCTGATGGGGCAGCCTGCCCGCTGCTGATCTGCCACTGTAGCGGCAAGAAGGAAAGAAGAAAGGTTCTATCAGCAGGCCTGTCACATACAGTGTCCATCTAATCCCTGTTCCAGACACAAAACACAGTAAAAGAAGAATGTGCTATTTGAATCCAATTGTAATTTTAATGGAAAGGGGAGAGGGCACAGGTATACATAATTTTTCATCAGTCCTGTCCAAAAATAAAAAATGAAAAGCACTGATTTTTACCAGAAGACAACAGTTAGTATACACCAGAAGACCACAGTATCCAATCTTGGAAAGCTTATACACATTGGAAAATCAATATAAATATATACACAGCAACTTCAAGGTAAAGATGGAGGGCAAAAATATACATTTTCTTCTTTCTGTCCCTACCTGATACACCTGAAACTAAAATGACAGTTAAAGGAAACTTTTTTAAAAGGTATTGACCCATAAAGACAAAGAAAACAGGAGAGAAGACAGAAATCGCATTTTGGAAGCTGGAAAGCAAATGGACAAAAAGCAAATGAATTGGTAACTTTGATAAAGCTGAAACCTAAGCTGGCAGTGAGGAAACAGAGAAGTAAACCAGCATTAACTGCAGAACTCCTAGGAGCTTGGGAATTAGGAGCATAAGAGGTGAAACTGGGGCTAAAATTACAGGATGATCTATTGAGTCTGTTTAAGAAGGATTAAATGTCACACTCCTTCCCTGTTTTATCTGTAGCTACCTCAAGATAGTAAGGATGTCCTCTACTTCAATAGAAGGCTGAAAGTTTATTCTCTAGAATAGGTAAAACCGTATCTTTGCACTGAAGGGCACCAGGCTCAGTTGAAGGCAGAAGTATTGCACTGACAATGAGAATTAAGAAACCATACACACATTGAATGCTGAGCTTCCTGCCCAGGCTGCCTCTGGCCACCACCAACCTTCTCCCCTTAGAGGGCTTCAATGAGCAGGCAGGCCCTGCATTTGAGGCATAAAACAGAAAGATCTTCTGGGAACTGGGCCACTACCTAAAGATGGCGACACTAATAACTCTCCTAATAAACATGCCTAGCAGCCCTCATAAAAGCGCAGAACCTCAGCCACCAAACATTAGCCCCACAGCGTGGCTTTCAGGTTTCCTGTCTGGTTGTTTTCACTCATTTCTCAGATATCAACAGGTAATTAAGCATCAATACACAACTGAGGAAACCCTGTCATTTATGTTAGAGGCTGAGATAAATACTTTAATACTAGGAATGCTAAAGTACGCAGAAATGACCTCTGCTGCTGTCTAAAAAAATAAGGTTTGATGGATGGATGGATAAGTGAGTATAACGATAATAAGTAAGAAGGCAAACAGACTAATCCGTCCCCTATACAATTGTTCCAACTTAACTATGTTTGAAAATTTTCAAAATAAAATACTGGGGGAAGGAAAACCAACTAAGAGGTATTTTAAGACTATGCAGGGGAAAAAAATTCCCAAACACAGCATCATTTACATATGAACTACACAATATAGTGACAGTGTCGGAAATATTCTAATTTTTAAATATCTAATTTATATGCTCCATTGAAAAAAACCCCGTGAATATGAATGGCATCTTTACCACCTACCCACCTCTCATACCACCATCAACCTCTCTTTCTCCTCCCTGCCACAGAATAATCAGTTACAGTTGATGTAAATCTTTCCAGATTTTTCCTATGTATATGACTTAAAAAAAATTAACAAAAACACAAAAATGAGAATAACTCACAAAAATCTGACTTATTTCCCATATCATATACTCAGGAGATCACATATAAGATTACTGCACTTTCTTAATAGCTAAAATGCATTTCCATTGTATAAGTATACTCTAAATTGTTAAGCTACTCCACCAATTAAAACAAAATTCCTCACTGTATTTTATTTTCTCCTAGTTTGTTCATTTATCTATTCATGTTTAGATTTTTGACCAGGAAACATTTTAAAAAACATTCTTAGAGTATGTGTCTATCCACTAAAAATAATACATAGGGAAGAGGTTAATGTCAACATTAGAGCACTAAGAATGTGCTTTTATCTACACTAGCACTAAGTCTCAACACAACTCTGCAAGGCACTCACTTATTATTTGGGGCAAATGAGATTTAAAAGAATAAATGTGTACAAGGCCACAAAATTATTAGGAAAATAAACAATTTAACACCAAGCTACAGCTTGACCTTTTCACCTAACCTCTCATGATAAAATAGAGGTAGGTATAAAATTTATTGAAAATAATTAAAATATTATTTTAGAAAATGTATTGATATTATATCAAAGTCAAACTAATTATAAAACACATACACACATATACACACAGCATGTGTACTTCTAGAATATTATTTTCAAATCATTTGATCAAAATGAATGTCACAGAATTATGGGAACAGCATCATATTCTTTAATTTGGTCTTGGCAAAAAAATTAAGCTGAAATCAATCTCCTAGTCTTAAGCTGGAAAGACTTGACATAAGTGCCTGGAGAAGACAAAGCACAGGGGAAACTTTCATTTTTTTAAAAGATAATATAATGCGTAAAAAAAATTTCTACCTGAAGACATTAAGAATATAAGTATTACACCGTCTCAGATTTAATATACAACCTTAAATATTAAACTTTATCAGATATACATGTAGTCCAAACTAAAACTGTGTGATAGTAAGTTTGTTTCCAAGAAGTCTCCTTGAAACACTCTGAAAATTTGTTTACTGTTCTCTTCTGAAGTATGCAACCTGTATTTGTTAGAATATTTCTGCCTTAGGAAATTTAATGTACTGACCTAAAAGGAATACACATCAATTTTGCAAAAATTAATACCTGTGACTCACTGATTATTCTGGGCCTCACTTCTGTATAAGTGGCTCGTTAATTCAAAACATCAAGATTCTTTCTCTTAGCTTTGTCTCCTTGGGTCTGTAATAATAAACTGTAACTCTCGTTTATATAAAAGAGAAAAAAGCTTGCTCTTGCTCTTCCTAACCATTGCTCTATCCATAAGTTCACTGTGATTCTGAAGTAGAGAGAAGCAGAAAAAGCAATCGAGGAGAGAAGGTAAACACATATACCTGCTTTATGGCTTGTTGAGCCAAGAAAGCCATCTGCAGGGGGTTGGGCTTTATTGCCTGTCGTGGCAAATTCTGGTTTGGTGGGTATCTTAACTGTTGAGGATGAGGAGGAAGAACTGGTCCATTGGGCTTGGGGCTGTGATTCTGAAAATTTATGAGACGTGGAGGGGGTTGCTGGAAAAAAGAAATTAAACCAATTCAGTGACAATCATCTCCTGAAAGACAAATTATAGAGAACTCTATTTTATAACTTTACAGAAAGACAGCAACTTTGCCACAGATGAATCATTTACTAATATGACAACAAGGGTATGGGGGGAACGGACAGCCTTCTAGAATAGATATAAGCACTTTAAAGAAAAGAAGTTTTATTAGGAAGGAGACTTGGGAGAGGATTTTTCAATTCTAAGTAGGTTACACCAGGATTGGATCTAGGCCATACTGCGAAGTAGGGAAAACTTGTCTTTGGTATTTTTCTAAGTCACTGATGATTATCTTCTGCAAAGAACTGTCCTCCTCAAACCTCCTAAAGTAACATGGTGGCAGAATAATAACTGCTAACATTTTTGAACAATTATTACATGTCAGGTACTATTTTAAGTGCTTTACATGTGTTAACTCATTTAACCTTTACAATAATCCTCTGAGGTAGGGATTATCTTTATTTTATAGAAAAGGAAACTAAGATACAGAGAATTTAAGTAATTTGCCCAAGATTAACAAAGATAGGAAGGAATGGAGCTGAGATTTGAACTCAAGTACTCTGGCTCCAAGGTCTGCACTGCAAGCAATAAAACAATAATGAAAACAGATTATATTAGTAACATTTAAAAACCTATGAATCTTACTGAGATTGAACTATACTGCAGGCATTGTGATTAGCGTTTTACATGTGTTATCTTGTTACTACCCTCCCCATATTTTACAAATTATGACACTAAACATAAAGAAGCTTAGATAACCTGAAAAAAGTCACACAGCTCATAAAAGGCAGCACTAAGGCTTTAATCCAAAATTTGTCTGCCATATCATTACCAGAACGTGTGTTTAGCTGGAGGTTAAGGTACTAATTACAGCTTAGAGGATGAGTTTCCCCAAAAGAAAATAGATTTTGAAAGGAAACCCTTCAAGGACAACACTGGCCGATTACAGGATAGGGTAAGGGCTGGGAAGGCAAGCATAGTTTGCTTACAAATGCTAGCCCTAGAAAATGAGACCAGTGTTCTAGAAAAAGGTAATCTTATATGCCAGTCTCATCTTGACTATCCAATTCTCTCTATGGTTGGCAACTAATTGCAAAGTAAATACTTCTTAACTGTATGATTAGAGCTTCTTAGAAATGGAACTATTAACTCCCACATTCAAAATGGGACAAATAAATGTGGAATTTATAAGGCTGAAGAAGCACCCCTTTAAACTCTGACACTGTGAAGGCAGACAGCTATAAAGTGTAGCTCTGCCCCTTTTCTTTCTTTTCCTTCTTCTATTTTCAGAATTTATTCTCCTTTCCTGGGTAAATTGCTTCCTTCCCCTTTCTTACAAATCAGCTGGCACTGTGTTCACCCTCAGTAACTTTCAAGAGTGGCTAGCAATTACAGACCCAATGAAAAGACTTAAATACTATTTCAAGACCAAGGGAAATTCTGTAGGTGAAGAATAGAAACATATCAGAGAAAAGCAGAGAAAACATCAAAACTTTAAAGAAGCATGAGATGGAAGCCAGAGTAATCTTTTTGATTCTTCTATTGAAGTTTTGTGGTTTGAAAGATTTTATATCATAGAAACACAAACAGGAAAGATTTGGGGAATCGTAATGGAAATAGTGGAAAACTTCTAAATTTATCCAAGAGACAATTTTTAAAAAGTGGAAAAGCACCCAAAATGATCCTAAAAGGAGAAGACTACTTATAGAATCTTTTGCCCACCCTATTCTCACACCCCTTACCCTGACTGAGATTTATATGTTGTTTCAGTCAAGAAATGACACTTGATGCCAGAGTACTGAGCTCTGTGAGAAATCAGTGTGTGACTGGATGTCCACCCTGCCATCAGAGAATCACAGTGTGGTGAGATGTGAGACAATTTTCCCCCCTCTCCTATACTCCTAGTTGACTGAGTTAATTTCTAAGAACCCTGTGACAGGAAAAGCAACTTGAAACCAAAATAAGATTAGGAACTAGTTATGAGTATAAAAGAAATAGCAAAACCAGTGCTCTTTTAATTAAATGGAGTCAATTAATTTACAAGAAGGAAAAAAAAAGGAGAGAATAGAAAAATAATTGCATGCCTAAGCAAACTGACATATAATCATCATTATCTTCATCTTCATTCAAAATATTTTATTATTATCGGTTTTAATTTTATCCTAGGTCAGTAATTCCCAACTATGAATAACCACGAAGGATAGCAGATGTCCTTCTAACATCAAGCCACTGTTTGGGAGAATTAATGTATACATATGAATGAGAGTATCTCCATAGCAGTAAATCTGGCCCAGGAGTGAGAACCAGTAAGTGTAAAATAGCATACTCAGAGCTAACAAACTTAGAACTGTCCACTGAAGTATGATGGAGTATAATGTATACTGCTCAATAAACAGAAATGCACAAGATTTATCAATTTGTACCAGTCAGTCATCAAACTATGTATTCCACCACTGTATCACTCAACCCCTCAGTCATTCAGATTACATGGCTCATCTTCAGAGAAAGAAGAAACAGAGAACTGTCATATAAGTGACTTTCAGAGGCAGTCCTTTAAATGTACCTGTGTCCCATGGACAGATGTTTAGTAAGATTTGAACACCTCCACAAAGAGGCACTCATACACACCTGATTATAGACAGATATTTTCCCATATGTATATGCAAATAAACCGTTAGAAAACTAAGAAGGTAGATGGGCAGGGCAGTGTAAAAGTTTAGAGAGGAGGGAAAATTGATGAGTGAATAATGTAGGAGTGGGTATTTGGCAGAGAGAAGATAAAAAATGAGAGAAGAGAATATTGAAAGAAGGTCCAGGAGCTATTGAGAGGAGATAGGAAAAGAGCAGTGTGTGAGGTTAATGACCAAAAGATGAGAAAACTACTTTACAGTTGATCCTTGAACAACACAGGTTTGAACTGTGCAGATCCACTTAGATGTGGATTTTTTTGATAGTGAATACTTTAGTACTACACAATCCATGGTGGCTGAATCCTCAGATGCGGAACAGAGGACAGGGAGGCACCACGTGTGGATTTTCAACTGCATGCCGGGTTAGCGCTTCCAACCCCTGCATTGTTCAAGAGTCAACCATCTTTCCAAGTGGGAAAGTTAGGCTGTATAATACAGAATGTACATTACATATATTATACACCAGTAAATCTTAGAGAGGAATAATAAGATCAAAGCAAATTTCTGAGATAAGCAGGCAAATGGCTCGATCGAGGTCACTTCTGTTTTGTCACTGCTTATATAAATAACTATTTATGAGAATGTGACCAAGTCACATAGTATCTGTTAACTGCCTTAGTTCTTCACTTCTTAGTGAAAAGGGAATTAATACAAATGATGGATTTATGCCATTTCAGGTTAATAAGGTATTAAATAAAAGTCACTTTACCATCTCTCAGACACTTAAGATAAATATTAACCACGCAAATGCTTAGCACTAGGCTCTCAACAAGTAATTATTTCCTCTCTCTCTTCCTCTTCACATTTTTCTTCAGAAAAATTTTGGTCCTCTGCAGTCTATCTGCAACATATCACTCTGTAGTCTGCAGAGGTAGTAACAAAATTATTCCTCAATTTTCTTAAACTCTCTGCTCTGCCAGTTGCACTCTTGGTACCTAAAGCGAACAATTCTTTTCCCATGGAACACTCACCAAAGACCTCTTAAACTGCTTGTTATTTACTTCCTTTAAAAACCTAGGTTAAAACAAAGTATGAGAGGAATAATCAAATGGTCATACTAATATTCTCCTGGATTTGACATGCCTTCTTATCAATTTACTAGACAGCAGTAAATCTCAAATACAGCACCTCAGGCCTTCACAGAAGCCAATTAACAAGATCAGGATCTACATAAGCCTTTTATTCAGGGTTGAAGTAAGAGTCCTGTGAAAATCATCTGTATGTTTTATAAAATTGTTACAAAAAAAATTATGCCATTTAATTGCTTTTTCATAAAGAACCACATTATACATTCCTCTTAGTGTGAGTAAAATACTAGTAAAAATTTCCCCTAATTAATGGCATGTTTTCTTTTTATTAAATAATACAGATATTAATCCTGTTTCTTCTTTTTTGTTCAGTTGACAAAAATGGAACTATGTCTTGTTGTTAAGCAGAATAAGAACTCTTAGCCTAATTCTACATACTTTATTTGAGCATTATTAATATTTATTAATTCTTGTGCCATTTCATTTGTGTCATTTACTGTAAATCAGTTCAAACCCTTCTGAGAAATAGGGAGAGTATAAATTAATAAATAAAAGTAACTGAAGATAATTTTTAATGAATTAATTAGACATTCCACTCCTTTATTAAATCTAAGTATGTCCACATCTAACCTGAGCAGGGCTGTTAAACTATTTAATAAAGTATATAAACATTTTATCTTCAAAAATTGGATTTAAAATAAATAGATTATTTTATATCTAGTAAAAGTAAGAACGGCTCATGGAATATTTGCTGAGAAGTAAAGTTTGAAAAAGGTAGACTTCTAACGAATCACACCCTTGCCCTTTTCCATCTCATTCTGCCCTAGTTTCAAAGATGCCATGTGGCTTTTGTAGACACTGCATCCCTACAGAGAACAGATACCTAAAGTATCAGTCATTCTGAAACACTAATACAAGAATTGAGTTACAGGTACACAACTTTTCCCATCAACCATATGCATGTGTTAAGAATGCAAAAATTTACCCTCTGTTATAATATGAAGATGATGAAGAGCAGATAAGAATAGATGTCCCAGCTAAATAAACCATTAATTTATTTTGAGAAGGGCTAAAAACTAGGAGTTAAATCAGGGATCCTTAATGTGATAAATTTTTATAGATTCACATATTTAAATCATGGATGATGGATGACTTGGTTATTAAGAGCTGCTGAATACAACTGTACTACAATTATCTAAGTTAGGACAGGCCTGCTTCCAAATTTACCTGATGAGAGATGGAAGGTTGCTGGATGGGCCCCTGCATTCTAGGGTTTGGTAAACCCACAGGTGCTGGCCTCCGTTGCACCTGTTGCCTCTGAGCCATTACCTGTTGCTGCATATGCTGGAGTCGTAATTGAGCTAGGCTGATCTGTGTTGGAAACTTGGATAACTGGTTTGAAGATAAACCACCTGGTGGCTGTGAATTCTGTTCCACGACAGGATTCTGCTTAGGCATTTGTGGTTGACTCTCTTTATCTTCGATTACTAAAGAACCTAATTAGAGAGAAAAGGTTAAGTTCTAAAGATTTTCTGAGAGTGAAATACTATATTTTGTAAGGCTATTTTTGCTGATCTTCAGAACTGCTAAGGAACTTTTTTGTCTCAGGAAACCTTTATACTCTTAAAAAAAGAAGTCCCAAAGAGTTTTTGTTTATGTAGGTCCTATCAATCAAAATTTACCATATTTGAAACTACAAATGAGAATTAAAAACATTTGGGGGGGTACAGTTCAGTGGTACAGTGCATGCTTAGCATGCACGAGGTCCTGGGTTCAATCCCTAGAACCTCTATTAAAATGAATAAAATAAATAAATTTAAAAACCTAATTACTAGCTCCCCCCCAAAAGTAAAACAAAACACCAAAAACACCCACAAAATATTTTTCTCACTAATTCATTTAAAGATCACAATCCTTAGTAACACATTTTTATGGAAAAAATAACTTATTTTCAAAAGAATTTAGTGAAGAGTGGCACTATTTTACATTTTTGAACATCTCTTTAAATGTCTGACTTAACAGCTGAACTCTCATCTCTGTTTCTGCATTACGTGTCATAAAACATTGTTTAGACTGAAATACACGAAGCAAATCCAGCCCCACATGGATACATACTTAGAAAAGGGAGGCCTCTGTCTTTCGCATACTCAGACCATACTATGAGAAGTGCTGTTGTGTATCAAAACAAGCAAACCTGACATTTTCTTCACACTGTCACAGTGCACACCATGTTACTGATCTAACAGAGAACACTGGCTTACAACTATACTGTTAGAGCTTAAAGGTACTTCCAATAGGTCTGGTCCTAGCATAAGGCAAAGCTTGATTTCTTCAACAGTAGACACTCAAATGTTTCTGATTTACTAAGCATACACACCCTAAAAATATGGTTATTATTCATTAAATACTTACTATGTATTAGATACTGTGACAGTCGGTCTATACATACTGTTAAAGACCTTTGTACAGATAAGGGATCTAAGGTTCAGAGAGATTGAACAACTTACCCAAAGTCACCAAGACATTAACTGAATATTCATCCAAATCAGTATTTTTCCCTTGCATTTTTCTGTAACATGTTTTCCCACAAGTTTGGGAAACTTATCTCCTTCTTGGAAGATTTAAAATGTAAATCTCACTGTAAATGACAACTTACAGAGCCGTATATGACAGCATGGAGAAGTCCTACAGTGAAGGATACTGTTTTACAAACTCCTCACAAACAGGAGGTGCTTCTTTTGTTGTTTTTGCTGATGTAGATTAATCTAAAACTATGTCCATTTATGTGTGTAAAGTTATACATATTCTTAATTTTACTTAATTTTACCTAGGTCTACATCATGTAGTCTACGTTTTAAGGGATATGCTTACAACTCTACATATGACTTTGTGTGATTGTGTAACTGGGATGGGCTCTCTGCATAGCTGAAGGTGTGGTGGAGGATGGGGCAGGATACGAGATAGTTACTTACACACACACTGTGTATTAAGATGCTTCTTTTTAGTTATACAGGTGAGACCGTGTGTGATTCCAGCTGCCTGCTATGTATCAATCAATCAATATGTACTTCTAAACTGAGTTGCAGGGGTCATCTCATCACTGTTCCTTTAAAGGGTCACCTTGTTACCATACTTTCAGCTCTTCCCTTGTAAGGGTGAGATTTGAGTAAGCCTATTTCTCTTCCTTTCCTGGTGTGTTTGGAAAGCACTGGCTCTCTTCTGAGCCATTTCTTCTTTTCTTACCCAAACTCTAGCTTAGGAAAGGAATGAGAGAACAACCATCTTTGATGATTTTGAAACAAAGTCAGTGAGCCCCCAAACTGTCATCAAAGGGAATGTTGGTGGTTGATGAAGAACGTGTAGGGAATTCTTACATTTCTGTTTCTATAGTTTCCCTATGAGAAATTAAGAAAGGAGGCAAAAACTGAAGACTTTTTCTACTAGCATATAATGTAACAAGAAAGATAAATAATCACTTTCTACTCGCTGGACTGCCTGCAAGGATAGTCGATGTTACCAAATATTATCATCACAATAGTCTCCCTTGGTGATTTATTCAGTGGGTTCCAGTACTTAAAATTCGCTTATCTGTATGCATGTCATACTTCAATTAGGAAGTTTAAAAACATATAGTTATTACATAAACGGCAAAAGAAAAAAATGAGAAGTCTTCCCGAGCAAGATAAAGCAAACAAACCATTAGGTGCCTGATGACTGGGTCTCAAGAGTAAGTAAGCCAGTAATTGTCTGAGAAATACACTGTTTTCACCCAGAAAACATTCTAAATATTAAAAAAAATCTTGTATTAATGGCAGTCACAAGTCAAAAGTTGTATCAACCATTCTATAAATACGTGATTAACAGTACAAGCAAGATTCTATGGGGGAAAAAACTAAAATGCAGAAGTCCAGACACACTGTGAGTCAATGTAAAGGATGTTTTGTATCATCCACATGTTTACACGTGTTTATATTCATGCATGTGTCACACATATACACACACTAACGAAATACTAGTGAAGAGTCTGTCTTTAAAACAAGATAATAAAAACATTTTGGGGGTGGAAGGGAATATATTTTCAATAATCTCATAATCATTAAAAGTTCCAGAAACAAATGACACTTTGAGAAAACGTACATAATAGCCTACCTAAATTGATAATATTTTGAGCCCAGAAACTAGGATCACAGTGAAATTGGATGGTATTGTTGGTCACTGGGGAAGCATCACACCTTGCTCGAAGGAGGTGCCGTAACCGGTATGTAATCTAGAAAAAAGGAGAGACAACCAAACATCGAAAACTTTATTAGACAAATAATAAAGCTCCCAATAATCACACAAAAAAATGGTCTCCATATCATATGTCTGCCAACACAAAATAAGAAATCCTAAGTTATAAAAAGTGGACATACAGCATAGTTTTCCTTCCAAAACATGTTAGAAGTTTTGAGGTATAACTCAGCTATACTGTTAAACATAAAACTGAAAAAAACTATCTTAAAATGACAGGTTAAGTCAGTTTTCTGAATTACTGAAAATTCACAGAAGCACCAATCAAATATTTGTGAAATAAAAAATTTTCACACATTCTGCTCTTTTATTTCAGTTACTCTTTCCAAGAAGGATTCAGAATTTAGAATATAGGGCTAATGAATTACAGAAAATATAAGTTAGTCTCTTGCTCAGGAAACATAAGAAGGGCCCACAGCTAGGCCTGCTAGTGGATGGCTCTCCTTGCGCCTGTGCTTTGAATCTCGTGGCATCACCCCGTACACCCACCCCGCTCCACATTGCCGTCCTCAGTCCTTGAAGAGTTTAACTCCTGGCTCACTGCCCCCAACTCCAACATTACTCGTGTCCTAATTCTTGATGATTTTAATATCAACTAGATGATCTTTCTTTCCAGCTTACTCCCTCTAGTGCCCAGATACCACTAATCCCACAAACCCTAAAGATCCTATAACCTTTGCTCTTAAAATTTCTCCCTGTCCTTCCATCTCACCTCACCACTACCCTTAGGCAGCCCTCAATTCCTCCTTATCCAGCTCAAACCCCAGGGTCAATCATGATAATCATTTCCTCACATACATACCTTCAACACCCCTTTCTCTCATGTTTTGAATTACACATACGCCCCCTTCCCCTTCTCGACCTTTTCCCCAAATAACAACCAACAAACAATACCAGTTAAACTAACTTTTGACTATGACTGGACTGATGGAGGGACTGACCAAACTTCAAACACAGCCTGTTTACTCCAGGTGGGCCCCTAAGGTGGATGGGCTATCATATGACGTTACTCTGGCCCTTCACTTTCCTACTCTCCTACTTGACTATTTCAAACCTCCTTTCTCTTTGAGGGAGGAGATGCTGGAGATGTGAAAATCCATCTGAGCTGATGGTCTTGCTAACCAGTCACTGAAAAAACAGGAACAATCAAGGGTCTTCCATCAACTTCCACCACCAACCAGTACTAGTGGTCCCTCCTATTACACGGGATTACCTGGCCATGCTTCTAGCTAAAGCTAGTCCTTGCACTCGTGCAACAGTGCCCAACACCTCCGCTTACTCAAAGACATTGGCCAATGATTTTCTCCCCTCTCCAGAATCAAGCTTTTCATTTTACTGGATCAGTCCCATCAACATACAAACATGTTTTAACATTTCCCAGCTAAAAACAAAACTCCTTTAAAAAACCAATCCTTTTTCCCTGTCATCAACTGGCCCATTTTTCTCTCTCTTTTACGGCAAAACTTTTTGAAAGACTCATCTATCTTTAATGTCCCTCATTCCTCTCCTCTTATGCTTTTCTGAAACCACTCCATTTGACCTTTCAGTAGCTTTTCTCATAGGTGGTCACTTGGCCCTTATGGAAACATTTTCTTCACTTGGCTTCTAGCAAACTATGAGCTCAGGGTTTACCCTCATTTCACCAGCTGCTACTTTTTAAGGCCACTGAGAAGAGGTTTGGGTTCCAATGTACCATCTTAGTCTCCATTGTTGGTTCCTTCTTCTCTCCCACACCTGGAATGCCCCAGGACTCAATCTTTCAACTGTTCTCTTTTCTCCTACACCCACATACTTTTAGTGATTTTTTCCAGTCTCATAGTGTAAATGACTCTTAAATTTATCTCTCAAGCCTGGACCCCTCTTTGAACTTGCACTTCTAACTGCTTGCTCAATATCCCTACCTGGCTGTCTAACCGGCATCTCAAATTTAGCATGTGTAGACGGGAATTCCTGATCCTTCTCAAGTCTATTCATCCTATGATCTTCCCCATCTCAATTACTGGCAAAACTGTTTTTCCTACTGCTTAGTTAGTCCTTGGCTCCTGTCTTTTCCTCTCACCCTACATCCCATCTGTCAGCAAATCCTGTTCGCTCTAACACTAAAAGATATGGATAATCTCACCAATTTTCCCATCAACACTATCAACTTCTACTGTTACCACCCTGGAAAAGCCACCTCATTGCAGTAAGTTTCCAACTTGTCTCCCTTATTTCTCCCTTGCCTTCAACTACCTATAGTTTATTCTCAGCAGTCAGAGTGATTAAAATATAAATCGTATTCTGTCATTCCTCTCCTCAAGTCTCTCCACTGGTTTCCCATCTCACTCAGATTCAAAACCAAAGTCCTCATAATGAACAACAAGGCTAGTGCTACCTGGCTTTCCAGTACTTCTGACCTTACTCACCCTACATCTGCTCACTCACTGTGTTCCAGCCTCTTAGGCCTCCTTGCTGCCCACACCACAAAAACTCCCATCTTAGTCTCTGCACCTGCTGTTTGTACTTCAGCTCTGCCTGAATACCCTCCCTGAGTATCGATCGGTATGGCTTGCTTCTCCACTTCCTTGAGGGGTTTGCTCAAATGTCACCTTCTTTAGATAGAATTCCCTCTCTAAAATTACAACCCTCACGCCAATGCTCCTCTAATTACTTTTCTCTAGAGCACTTAATACGATGTAACAGTCTATATTTTTTTTAACTTATTTTGGTATTGTCTCTCTTCACTAAAATGCAACTCCTTGAGGGCAGAGATTTTCTTCTGTTTTCTATTCCCTCAGTACTTAGAATGCTGCTTGATATACAAGTATTCAAAAAATAATTGTTGAATAAATAAGTTTGCTTCAACTGCTAAATTCTCTCAAACAGCTATAATAAATTCTGAGCAAAACAAAGAATTTATTTTGGGACTATACAGAATACATGGCACAGTGTTTAATTAAGCAATTAGCACCCGATACAATGTTCTTTCCCTAAGTGTTTCTCCCTTTCTTAATTTTTTGCATCTTCAAATAATTCTCACTATAAAACATGCTCAAAATATGCTAATCAAAAGAAGGATGCCAAAGGGGAAGGTATAGCTAAGGGTTAGAGTGCATGCCTAGCACACGCAAGGTCCTGGATTCAGTCCCCAGTGCCTCCATTAAGAATAAGTAAATAAATAAAAACGTAATTATCTCCACCCAAAATTAAAAAAAAAGAAAAAAATAAGAATGATTCCAAAGACTTTCCTTTGTAAAATAAATCCTCATGCTTTATGGTTTTCTAAAATTTAATAATTTATTTTGAAATCATTTAAATATTGTAGAAAAGTGAATAGAGCCCTTCACCCAGATTTCCCAACTTTAAATATATTAGCACATTTGTTCCAGGGCCCACCCACTGCTCCTGTGCACATACACTATTATTACTAGTCTTTTCACGAACCTTTTGACAGGAAGCTTCTGACATTAGGTTCTGCCTCCCTGCTAAACATTCCAGTGAGTATATCCTAAAACAAAGATCCTCTAACGTAAGCAGCAAATTCCAAATTCAGAAAACAAGTCTGTCACAACACTATTCAATCTAGACACCTCATTCAAATGTCAGCTGTCCCAACACTGTCTCTTTCCAGGACGCTATCAAGGAATACAGGTTGCATTCAGTCGCCAAGTCTCTTCAGTCTTTCCCTCTCATTCGTGTCCTTGATGGCTTTAAAGATTTCAGGCCTTACATTCTGTAGGATGACCTTCAACCTGAGTTCGAGAGTCTTTCCACCTGATCAGATTAGTAAGGCATTCTTGTCAGGAAAACCACACAAATGATAAAGCGCACCTCTCAGTGCATCCTTTGGGGAAGCTCAGGATGTCACCTTGTCACACCACTGCCCATGTTAATCTTCATCACCTGGCAGTTCTGCGGCCCAATTTCGCTACTCTTAAATTCACTACTTTCTCGCTTTGTAACTGATTAGTATTTTGCAAAGAAGTATTTTAGGGTTACACTAAAATCCTGTAAGCCATCAGTGCTCTACCCACCATGTGAGTATCCACAGAAAACTGCTTTTGAATTTCCTCTACCTTAGTGACCAAATGTGCTTCTTTATGCTCATTATTCTTCCCAGTCTTATTAATTTACATAACCTTTTCCCTTCATTGTCATTTACTTATTTATAATCATCATGGACTCATTTATTCCTACTTAATTCAATGTGTTGTAATCCATTATTATGTTTATTTAGTCTGAGCCTCAAATTTGTGGATCTGCCCAAGGGGAGCCCCTTTAGGCTGAATCCTGGTCCTTTTGACATATCCCTATTATTTCTCTGGTAAAAGATGCTCTGGGTACAATCTGTACTTTTTCTCACTTTCCTTGATATTTAGAAACCAAGATCTGAAAGGACAGTGAGCTCACTGCTCTTGGGGTGTAGCACACAAACATATAAACACATACAGATACATACTTACACATCTATAGCTGTTTCCACATCTCTCTGTATAAAACCCTTGAGTTCACACTTATTCCTCTAATTCCAATCCAACATATCTTATGGCTCTGTATGGCCTTATTTTCCCCCTATATTTCTACATACTTCTTGGGTAGCAAAAGACTTGGCTACTATTACCCTCAACATATCTTCTTACTTGCTCAGTCCATTTACTTATTTGCTTAATGTAACCAAAATCCAAATGATACTGTCTCTGCTTACTAGCTCTGTGTTCCCTACTCACCATTTCTTATCTTTGGTTGCTAGTCTTGGGCCTCTATGTGGTCCCCCAACCCTCTTCACTACCCTGTGTCTTCACAGTCACCATGCTAATGCCTCCATGTCAGGAAGGGAAGATGCTTGATCGCTTTATTTAAAAAACTGTTTTCCCCTCCCTTAGGCACACTACAGTGACTTAGCACTTCAAATATCTTACGATTTTTAGTGTGGAAATTGAATAATAAAGCTTCCTTGCCAAGAAAAAAAAATTATTACATCAGAAATGTGAGTACTTCCTTAAAAGGGAATCAGTTTTAAGAGAGGAAATATGAGGTAAATCACTTGGATATAAATACTTTTGTTTTTTGCCCTTGAGGTACTATGTTGTAAATTCCTTCTTTTGCTGAAAAGAAACATAGAATTTATTTATAACTCAGATAGCTAGTATCTATTTGCTAATTAAGTTGTGGCAAGGTCTAAAAATAACATCAAATTTGTCCAAACCCTGCTCCTTATCTTAAGTAACAATCGTTTCTGTTGTATTTTACTGCCATTCAATGTAAAGACATAAGACCTCCTGTCAAACTATTTTATTCCCCATCTCAGATGTAAACCATGACACTCATCAGAACTCCTGATGCATGTTTTAGATAGTTCTGAGGAGCCATAAAGCCTGGCTAGTATGAAGATAAATAATGATTCATTAAATATACTTGTTGATACCTTCAGATATATTTGAACTTAAACTCAGGTTTCACACTGAAAACTTAGCTACTGTTCAAAAATAAAAGACAAAAATTTTCTTAAAAAGATGAAAGTCAAAACAGTTGAGATGACAACACTGTATACTGTCTCCTTTCTACTGAAGTTAAAATAAACTGAAAATTTAACATAAAGTTTGTACTTATTTATAGCTTCTGACAGGAGACATTACCTGGTGCCTTATCTGTTCACCATCAATCTTTCACTAAGCTCCTATATATAAAGCACTGGGTAATGCAAAATTCCTACCCTTGAAGAAGCAAAAATTCTAATCACATTCATAGAAAAATATGCAAATGGAATAAAAGTAGATAAAAATCAGTAACAGTATGATGGATATATACACAAGGGCTCTGTAAACACAAAGAAGGGTAATCCAACCCAGTGTTGGTCATGGAAGTCTGCCAAAAGGAAAGGACGACAAATCTAAACTGAACCTGGTAGTCTCTAAAAAAGATGAGGATTCATTACTCAGGAGAAAGCAAGGCCTTCTAGGAAAGGGCAACAGTACCCAGCCAAGAGAGCACGGTACGTACTCCGAGCTTTGAGGACTAAAACTAAGGAACTGGCAATGAGACATTCAGGAAACACAGAGAATGCCTCTGAAGATTAATTATACGGGAGGATGGGGGAAAGGGAGTAAAAAAGATCGCAGAATTCTTTTTTACTACTTATATCTTAATAGTTTCCTAATCACTAGTATTAGAGAAATATCTACTGCTTGTAAGGAGAATAGCTGTGTTTTACTCTCCTAGTCTCTCTTCTGTCAATATTTCTTGCCTTCCTTCAGAAGAATCCTAAGGAAATACTGCAAAAATGTTTCAAAATACAGTTAAAACTGGACTTCTAAAGGATTCTGCTATTCCAATGGGTTTGGTCTTTTACTGACTATAATTTCCTCAGTAAAAGATGAACTAAGAATTACAAGCCAAGTTTGAAATTTCAGGCCAGCAAGGCATTTCTTTTTAATTTTTGAGCATATAAAAGCCACCTTTAAAAATAACCTGAGTAAACATGGCTGTTTACAATGCATAAAACCTCTAAAGGACAGGGTTGTACAATATAGTGACTTTCAAATTTTCTGAGGTTGGAAATCTTTCTAAATGTTTAAAAGTAATCACAAGCCTCAACTCTGCATGCATTACAGGCAAATTCTTTTACTAGCTGTATCTGCTACTAGTGTGCATAAAGGCTCGCTTGGATTCCAGAGACTTTTAAAAATTAAAAAACATGACATAGTCAATCAGGAATCTAGTAATGCTGGTTCCACATGACTCACAGTGCCCATTTTCTCCTGTGTATACTACAGAGGATGACCTCCCTCTCTCGGATTTCAAGAGATCATTGTGCAGATTAAGTAACCCCATCTTCTATTTTTTTATTGTTTTCTCCATATTATAAATCACAAACAAAATCACAGAATAAAATTAGGAAAACGAATTCTTAAACTGACAAGGGAGATTGACTAGATGTCTAATTGTGTGAATAATATGCTTCTTACACACATACAAATAAAAGTATTCATTATGGGTCTAAGTGAAAAAAGATGATTCTCACTTTCTCCTTTGATCCCTGTTTTGTTTGACTTACAGGAAAGTTTAAGTAACAGAGAAGGTATGCACTATATATATATATAAGCTTGTTTTTCATTAGACCAATGAAACAGTAAAAAGAAAAAGAAAAAAGACTCAAGACTGAGAGAACACACCATCGATAATTATGACAGAGAAAAAAATTTAAGAATTGAATACAATTCATGATTAGGAATAGTTTTAGAAATAGTTACTAATTTGTTTTCTAGTAAGTCACTCAATATCTGAACCTAGTTTATAAATGTTTATCCTGAAGTACATTTCCTTATTTCAAAATGGTCATAACGGGGGTATAGCCCAGAGGTAGAGTATTTGACTGTGAAATGGTTATAAAAAATTTCTTCCACAAAATGGAGTGGGTTAACAGAAAACAGATTTGGATGTCATAATTTGATTTCCAAGTAGAAATCTCTGTGGAATCTTTAATAAGACAAACGTTTTAAAAACTCCCACTTCACTTTTATGTGGTGTGACTTTTGTGGCTAAGTGTCTTCTAGACCCTTGCTCCCATCGGCGGGTCTGCAGACCGGCAGCATTAGTGTCACCTGCAAGCTCGTCGCAACTACAGAATCTGGCTCCACTCCATGTCTACTGAACCAGGATCCCTGGGTGATTAATATGCAGTGACCACACTTCCAGGAGCAAGGTTCTAGATTATTCTCAAAGTAGTTCATCAAATCAGAGCCACTTGTCTGCAGCAAGTGGGGTTGAAATATCCAGCACAATGTATCACTGACAGAGTAAACAATGTAGCATTGACAAGAGGAACATGGTCTCTGGATTCAGGTCTAAGTTGGCACTTTGTGTGACCTTGGGCAGGTTACTTAACTCTGTGCCTTGGTTTCATCACCCATACAATGTGAATGGATCTCTACCTTATAAAAATGATGTCAAAGGTTAAATATTACACAGCAATGCTTAAATTTAGTGTCTGGCACTCTACAGGTAATCAGGAAATGCTTACTATCATCATTATTGTTAGTATAAGTTCAGTTGTCACTAGACTGAGAAAACTTGGAGAAGAACAAAATAGGAGTGATGATGGCAGATTAAAATGCAAGTTATATCTAAATCACAGCAGTTTAAAGTAATATTTTAAAAATCAAACTATTTTGATCAATTAAAATTAGAAATAAGTAAAACGCATTTAAGCACAGACTAATGAAAATGTCTAAATTTTAGGCAATCTAATAACGGACTCCACTGTTTCCCTCTGTACTTTGACAGCATGTTAAGTGCCATAACTTAAGTGTCTTACCAGTCGCTTGCTATAGAGTAATGCTGTACTGCTGCCACTGGAAACTGCCCATTTAGAAAAATGCATGACATGTTCCAACTGTTTAGAAAGTCCAGCCACTTCCTGTTGTTGTTGCATAAGTTTCATGCGATGATCCTTTGCAAGGCTCTGAAAGGAAAATGGTTTCAAAATTATTTCTGCATTTAACACATTTTAATGGTCATTTTCAGATTACCAGATTAGAATAACCACAACTCCTAAGAACCCAAGTGACAGAAACTTAAAATACTTAGTGTGTTTACCCCCTAGCACAAAGGCTCACTCTCACTGAAGCAAAAAACTGCCCCTGGTGCCAATGTCACCACTGTCTATACTGCCCACCCCTTCTCCCCATGGCCCTTGGTCTGGTTTTACAAATTCTGGGATTTAGGTCTCTGTTCACGCATCTTCCAATATCAAAAAAGGTACAAAACTGTGGATTAGCTATAATACAGGTAATACCTATTAAATCAATTCTCACAAATAAATAGTTACATCATACAGCAATCTAGTAGAGTTATGCAGTAGACAACATTTAGGTTTTGCATGTGGTTTAAAAAAAAAAGCATATAATTTTAGTCTGTTGAAAATATGTACCCTGGGAATAAATTGATATAGTGACTAACGGAACCAATGCAGTTTCAGAAAAGTTACATAAAAGTAGAATATAGAATTTCTTTAAGGAAGTACACAAGCAAGAACACAAGTTTATCAAAAGTGGAGGAAAAACCCACTGACCTTGGGCTATTTTAAATGTCCCTATCCAAAAATCTCCTCTTTCTGACAAGGAACGGGGGAGAGAAGAGGGCTTTCTACTGGTTCTAAAGAAAAGTTCAAAAGTAACTACACAATAGAATTATATTCTCAGTAGAAAATAATGAACTTAGATCCTGGCCATAGTTAGTTTCAAATTTGGAAAATACACATGTGCTGCACTGAATGAAGGGAAAAAAACGCAGTGACTTTCATGTCTAACTTCAGAGATAATTTATTAGTTTATTTCTGATCTCTGTTAGAAACTAAATGTTTCTTTGTAAATATCCAAGAAAGAATAGAAATTCTGTTGACTTTTAGGGAGGTTGCAAATTGAGAACCTGAAGCCCAAGTTTCTTGGGCTTGTATGGTAACTACATTTGGTCTTATTTCTCTGGAGTCTTAGAAAATATTGGCTACCTTCATTTGCCTTAAAGGCTGTGAACCAGGAGAATGAGTACGAGGACTGAAAGGCATATTTAAAAGGTACTGTAAAAATTATTAGTCAATAAAGTTGATTTAAAATAATACTGATGACCAGGTTCATCCCTTAGAGGTTTGGGGATCTGATCATCTTTTGTTCTTTAACTTGAGTTAAAAAAAAAAAAAACCCTTGTAAGTGATTCTTATTTACCATGAAGTTTGGAAACAGCCACAGCAATGTATGCACTATTCATCTCTAAGAAATCAAAACTACACAACATTTGATTCTAAGCAGAGCTTTGAAAACTTTAAAAATTGCTTAAAAGCATCTTTAAAAAAAAAAAAAATCACAGGACCTTGAAAAAATAGTTACGGGTCTGATTCCTCCTGGCCAGAATACTTTTCTACTAAAAGAATACTTTTTTACTATTTGTTTCTAGAAGAACAGAGAATTATTTTGGTCTTTGTTTCCTGTATAAACCATGGGAAAGACCATACTTTCCCAAGAGAAACAGAACTTTCTGAAAAAGACCTTATAATTTTTGTCAACTATAAAATAAAGAGGTTGAACTAAATTATTTCTAGGAATCTTTTTTTAATCCTCACATATCAGAATTAATTTATTCTCTTCTTATTCTTAATCTGCTTCTTTACTGTTAAATATTTTCTGTCACAATACATTAAAAGCTACTAAAATATCCTGCATTTAATGTTATGTTGATATATCATGCAGAAGTTGTAACCTCATTTTATTTGAGTCAAACACTGACTCTGGATCTTGACCTTCATGAGTGGACAAAAGCTGATTAAGACAGTAATATTTTTCTTCCCTACAGTGAGAAACAACTATTCTAACTGCCTTGAGCATCTCTCCCTGAGTATTGCTTTCACAATTAAGGCTATAAAATGTTGTGGGCACATTATTTTACTTAATTCCCCATAAGGTTAAATGTATATATTTGCAAACTAAATACAGCTAACTTGGTGTATCTTTCTGAAAAATTTTGCTCAATTGCACTCCTTTGGTGACCCAAAATTGTCAATTCAATGAATTTCTAAAATGATTCATCTCTTTAACATTTACGAAGCTTCTCCTTATAAGCAATGCTTTGGGATGTAAAGTAGAAAATAAGGATTAAGACAGTCCTAGTGTATTATAAAGCCACAAATTGTCAGCTATAAAGCAAAGCCTTGCAAAAAGGAAAACCTGGGAATGGAGAAGAAATATTCTTGAATCATAAATGGAAACAATTATATGAAAAAGGCTGTGATTTCAACTTCACAAATACATGAGAAAACACTACATTAAATCACTACAACATAGTGTCCCATTAACAGTAACTTACCTCAAGCTGATGCAGTAGAGCTTTTCCTTTTTTATTTATTTCTACCATCAGTGTAAATATGGCAACTTTAATATCCTGTTCCACCTGCTTCTGATTTTGATTTACTTCAATTATCCTGAAAATTAAACAAAAGGGGGAAAAATCTAAAACCTAAGGCAGAAGGTTTGTCTTATACATAAGACTGATTTTTTGAATGTCTAAATTAGACAAAAACGCAAAAATGCTTTCAGCTCTTAAGAAGCTCATCTATTTTTAAGGGTCCTTCAGTTTAAATTGATTTTCTTGAAGATGAGACAGCAGAAATACAATTCTTCTGAAAGACACAGTCACGTAATTCAATCTTAAAATCAAAATGCATAAAACTGCAAGAGAACGAATACAGTTTAAGAAAGTATTATTTGGAAAGAATATGATGACACCTGGAAAAATTCTCAGCCTAAAAGGATGGAAAAAAAATAATTTATAAACAAGATAAGGAAAATCATGACTCTGAATGAGTTCTACTGTATTCACTTCAACTAAGAAGTAGGAAAGTATAAATGTGTCATTCTTATCTTAGTCATCTGAACTGCTACAGTATTCATTGTATCTAAATAGAAGCCAAAAGACAACAATAGTTGCTTGCTACTTTTAATAACATATTTGTCTTGAAAGAAGTAGCCAAGTAACTACTTAATGTTTATCAACTACCATATACATTTTCTCCTCTGACTGGAGAAAATGGGAATGCTGTTCTCATGATCAAGATGTACAGGGGAAAAAATGCATAGCATCACACCAGAATATCTTACAGAAGCAGAAAAAGAGAAATGGGGCATCCACCATAAAACATTATGAGATACATAAAAAGCTTCATTTCTTCTGTCTGCTTCTCCCATAGATACACTCCAAAACTCAAGATCAAAAGGGCAGGGAACTTTATTTTCTGTTGGAAATTCTTCAAGATAATTGTTTGACATCAATATTAGCTAGAGAATCAAGAAAACCAGATTAAGTCTGGAAACCAAACCTCAAAAAACAAACAAAAACCCTAACTTAAATCCTCATGATGGCAGAACAGGATGAAAAAGGGATAAGTAATGCCATGTTTGCACATGCATAAAAATGAATGAATAGAAAAGCCAGTCAGTCCAGTAAATTTAATCCTTCCATAATCAGGCAGGCTATAAAGATATGAGCAATCAACATCTAATCCAAAGACACTGTAATTCTTACCATAAATCAAAAACTAAAATCCTTCCATACAACAATGTATCACTTTGTAAAAAGAGCATAAATCACTAAAATAAGGTAACACCACTAAAAACAAATTTGGAAAATTCACACTATCTGATTTTAAGACTTACTATGAAAAGTTATAGTCATGAAGAAAGTGAGGTATCAGCAAAAAAGAAAAGCACTATGGAACAGAATAGAGTCCAGAAATAACATCACACATATATGGTCAACTGATTTTCTACAAAGGTGCCAAGGCAATTCACCAGTAACAGGATAGTATTTTCAACAAATGGTGTTAGAACAAACAGACATCCATAGGTTAAAAAAAAGGAAACTTTGGCCCATTGCTCATGGCCACAAACCATATACGTAGTGAAAGAGTAAGAAAATAGTCAAAAGAGTTTCATCAAGAGTAGATCTTCTACATAAAATTAGTTATTTTACAGTAGCTACTGTTTGCCATTGGATGGTAGAAATGCCTATAATTATCGCTCCTCATCATTCCGTAAGTATTCAAATTTTCAGTTATTCAGATGTAAAAAATTCTAAACCCATCAATGACATCAATTTAGCAAACCAGACTACTGTGATCAGAACATGGTAAAGAAAATAGTATTTGGTTAACTACAGTTCTTACGTGAAAGAGAGAGGTAAAACGAAATGAGAGCTGATAACAAAATAATAAAAACTGAAAGACACACAATAAAACTGTTATTAGCACAATGTATAATAGATATAATAATAATAATACCAAGGCATCAAGAAAAGGTTAAATTACGTTTATAATCTCTTTTAAGGAAATCAGGTAAACCAAGGGACTCTTTGGAAAAAACTATCAAATGCTCCAGCCTAGCCATGTTCCAAAATGATGAACGACAGATTGTGATGACTGATCTTAAGGAAGATGAACTACAAAAGTCTGACAAACTTTTCCCTATATAAAACATTCAGATCCCCTGCAAGGGATCTCTTACTAATAAGCATCTTTTGATCTATTAAGTCAATGACATGTTACTTTTGTGTACAAAACAAAACAAAGGGGGCGACTAGACAAACTCTGTCTTCCTTGCAGAGGTTAGCGGTTTGCTCCTCCAATCACTTAACTGTAAGACATGAGCCTTTGGACAGCTGATGATTTATTTCCTTGGAGAACAGAAAGTATAACAGGTAATATGTAGAGACTGTTAAGTATTGTATCTTACAAAGAATAAAAGGCACACAAAACAGACAATCCCTGTCTTCTAGTGTCCTGAGATCTCCACCTCACTGCATTTAAAAGATGACAGCCCAGAGGAGGCATCTCAAAGTTCAGCCATCCTTAAAACAGTAATTAATTATTTACATAATCAAGTATCAAAATTTTTTATAAGACTAGCAAAAATAGTTGATTTTCTTTTCTTTCAAAATCCTGGCATTTCTTCAAAAATTAGAAAACACCAAGTAATTATAAGTTATTAAAACCTACCAGATAAATGAGTTGTTACTAAATGTAGCTTATTACCATAATAGTTTTGAAATTTCATGGCTGAATATACTTTCCAATCCAAAGTTTTCAGAAATCCAAAAAGTTTCTGAAAAAATCTTATCAACTATGTGTTATTAGATCCACCTGACAGCTTACACTGATGTACTTCACCATGGGTTAAGTAAATGTCTGTTCTAAAAGTTACTATACTTAACGTATTATATAAAGATGACTTAAATAAAACCATGAATATAAATTTACCTGTTTTGGATCTGATTTCCTGTGAATTTTATGTATTTTGTTTTTTCCATCAGTTTGGTGATTAGGGTATCTATGATCACTTTCTGATTCTGAAAAGCTTCTTCTATAAATTGATATCTGATGAAATAAATAAGCCAATTATTTCACACAAATATCTGTCTAAAATGAGGAAAAGCCCCAAAGCACACAAATAACTAACAGAAAACTATTTAAGATGAGTATAAAAGATAAAAATAATAATCTTTAAAAAATGCCAAATATATCCCTAGAAAGCAAGTTTTCTCCTCCTCTCAAAATTATCCCTTAAGAAGGAGGGAGACTTTTCAGATATTACTCATGGACATTCTTTAAGTTATTTTGAAAAATTGAGAGAGACACACATTCATCATTCATAGTTTTACAGGCTTAAAGGGCTCCTTTGGCAGACCTGGAAAAAAGTAATCATAGACATTTAAGTACATTTATTAACTATTTTGCAATTTCATAATTATGAAAGTTTGATGCTTTTGTAAATACATATTTTGCAGATCACTTTTAAACAATAGGTAGTTGTGCTAAAGGTCACATTAACAAATGCATGCCTTAAAGATAAATGGGGAAGTGGGAAGCGAGGACAAAACTCGATGTTATGCCTTGCATGTGATAAAGTTTGAAGCAATAGTATCATAAAATACACAAATTTTAGAAAACTGACTTGGGATAAATAACAAGGGCCTACTGTATAGCACAGAGAACTATATTCAATATCTTATAATAATCTATAATGAAGAACAATCTGAAAAAGAATATATATGTATAACTGAATCACTATATACTTAGAGGGTCCTCTTAATAAAAAAACAAGTAGCATTTCAGCCTCAAATCTTGTGATTTGGAATATTTTATCCATTCACATTTGTTATAATTACAAATATATTTATAGATTTACCAATTTATCAAGTCTTATGAAACTCTATTTATTCTTTGTTCCTTTTATCTTTTTTGGCCTGTATTTAGACTGATTAATTATGAATTATTCCACTTCCTCCCTGTTATCTTGAGAGTCATACTGACTCTTGCTATTCTTTTGGTGACTACTCCATACATTAGAAAATGCATATCTTGACTTATCTAAGGTTAATTTGTAGTTTATTAGCCATTTCCTAAACTATGCATGAACCTTAGAACGTGAATTCCATACCCTCCTAACACATCCGCTGTGTGATATATAATACACACACGACACACACAAGCACAACATTTCATTAGACTTACTCAGATGTATCATTTTACCGGCTCTTCATTCCGTCATGTATCACATACCATTCTTCTCCTGCCTGAAGTGTGCTTCCAGGGGTATATTCCCCCTGTATATTTTGTCTGAAAACATCTTTCTCATTAATCTTTTGTTCACTGGGTATGGAATTTTAGTTTTCTAGTTATTTTCTTTTCATACTTCAAAAATATTACTTTATTTTTTTACTTATCCTGCTGGGGGCTTCTTGGATATGGGCTAGATGTCTTTCTTCAGTATTACAAAGCTAACATTCTGTCCTCAGATGTTGCTTCCTTCCCCTTCTCTCTCTCTCTCTGTCTTGGACCCCAGTTACACCCTGTGTTACATCGTCTCGATCCTTCTTCCACTTTCCATCTTTCTGTTTGTCGTGCTTCATTTTGATGTTTTCTTCATTTTCTTCTAGTTCATTAATTCTCATTTTCTGGTATGTCAAATCTGCTGTTCAACCCTCTATTGAGTTAATTTCAGTTACTGTAATTTTCAGTTCTAGAATTTCCATTTCATTCTTTTATACAGTTTCCAGTTCTCCACCCAAATTTTCCATTTTATCACTTATCATCTTGAATATAGTAAGATGTATCCTTGAAGAACTTTTTATGCTGTTTGCTGTATCTGCTAAGCTTTGTTCCCACTGCCTATCCCCTAGCATACTTGGTTATTCCTAATTGTGTGCTGGACCACTTTGCACAATTCATTATTGGATAAATCTGAGGTCTAGGATGATGTTTTCTTCCTCCAGAGAGGATTTACACTTTTTTCTACCAGGTATCTTGGGGCACCAGCAGTATGATTTCAATTTAATCCAACTTTGGGTACTGAGAAGATCTGATTCTGAGCTTTAGTGCCCTATGAGGAACTATTTACTAGCTAGTTTATCTTTATCATAACAGACTTTCAAGATCCCAGCTCAAAGCAAGGAGAAGCCTTTAACCCCTATGATCCCTGAAATCCAATCCCCGTCTTTCAGCTCTACTAGCTTATTAAAAGCAACCCTCAATTTTTAGGCAAATGCTTCAAGGGGGAAAAAGCCCGTACCATTCTCTGTCCCCACTCCAACCTAATCCTGGTCCAATAATTCTTTACCAAGCTCTAAAATATTTTATTGGTTTCTATATTCTGTCCATGTTTTCTAGTTACCCTCATTGGTATAGTTGATCCAAATTACCTAGTCTGCCATTGTTGGGAGCCTAGACTTTTTTTAATCAATTATATTTCTATCAGTTTACCAGAATCTTACTGTTTAAGTCAGATTTTGCCAACTCAGGTGGACTATTTGCCAACTATGGAGGACAGATTTAAAAGTAAGCTTTGATAGGAATTATGATGAATTAGGAAAAGCATACCCATTTTAAAAGTCAATTCCAGCCAAGTGTTGACATGAAAGTATATGGGTCCCAGTGCTACAACAGATTCTATTTTCAAAACACACACAAACTAAAGATCAAAATTTTTTTTTAATGTAAAATCTCCTCATTTACAACACTAGCAACTAATTCCATATATTCTTTTTACAAAGCATGTAGGCCAGTGTTTCTCCACTCATGGTGATTTTGCTCTCTAGGGCATTTGGCACATCTGGAGACATTTTTCGTTGTCACAACTGGGAGAATGCTACTGGAATCAAGTAAATAGAGGTCAAAGATGCAGCTAAACACCATAAAATACACATAGCCCCCACAACAAACAATTACCTGGCTCCAAATGTCAACAGTGCCAAAGATGAAAAATCCTGAAACAGGCCAACATCCTGCTGGCCAAACAAAATATTACTTGCAGATTGACACTTGGCTGAGATGCCAGCAGTCGTCTAGTCCTCATACAGCATCAATCTATGTAGACAATGAAAGATGCTGGTACCTGTGCTCTTTATGTTCCAATAACTGGCAGTCACGACACGTCAATTTGTCGCATGTTTCACAGTAAAGCTTCAGCTGCTCCTTTTTATGAAAAGGACAAAACACTGGTCGCTGACTGGTCACACCAACTGCCTCTGCAGAAACAATGAAAGGCAAAAAAGAAGAAAATTAACTTAATTGAATGGTAAATAACTATCAGATTGTTCAGTTAAATTCAAATACATTGAGATAAAAGGAGCTACAGTTTCATCAACACCTTCATTACCACTAGGTTCTACAGATAATAAAATATTAAGTGTTTTTTTGCACTTCAGGAGGAAATTTATATTTATAAATGAGTTTTTCACTTTCCAGTATAAAAATTCAAATTAATTCAGGAGAAAAAGAAAGTGTGTAGCTAAAATGATGCTTCATGGGCCTTGAGCTTTAGTCTTGAGAAATCTTAATAGCACAGATAAGTAAGTGTGAACCAACTGGAATGTTTTCTATTCCAAATGAGGGAGATTTTTTTAAAATGCAATGCAGAAAATCAAATAAAAATGTACAAAAGGGGTATCCTATTATTTTGCCAAAGTAGGGAAATAATTTTTCCACTTTTACAAAAATCCTAACAGAGTATACCTAGTAACACAGAGATAATCATAAAATGTTCACTACTGCACTGTAGTCATCCACATATACACTTGATAGCTATCCAGAGTGGGGATAAAACTGGGCAAAGCTTATGTTACAATGTCAAATGGAAAAATTAGAATACAAATAAATGCAATGACTGATTAAAAAGTACTAAGTTAAGCTGAGAGGAACTAAAAATAAAATTAATGAACTAAAAAGTATAGAGAGGATAATTAGATAACTTTCAAGATAAAAACAAAAAGGTAATTTACTATCTAGCCAGAGCAAAAAGGTAAAAAATACATAAAATTCTAAATGAAAAAAGGGAAAATAACAGATAGAGAAAATTAACAATGTATTAAAAGAATATTAACTGACTATACTTCACTTTAAAAAAAGGAAAAAAATTAAAAGAATATTAAAAGCAGGACACATCAAGACCTAAAGGAATTAATTCCAGCAACACAAAAATGGTTCAGTATTAGTACTGTCATAGCTCCCAGCTCCCTTCTTGAGGTTCATGTCATCTGGGCATCACAGTAGGCAGGGTGACCATACATTCTTAGTTGGCTTGAGACATCCTGGTTTGTGCCTGTTTTGCAGGAATGATTATTTATAGATACTCTGGTTTAGATACTTAAGACATCATTTATAGACATCCTTTATCTATGAAGAATGTAGACTCATAGTCACCTCCTAGTCCTAAATCTCATCATCATCCTGGATGATCTGTAAGACCACAGAGAGTACCACATAAAGACAAGTCTCTCAGACTTTCTCATCTCCGGAGAACTGTACTTTGGCTATTTATTCCATTTACTATAGATCATGGTCCCACCCTAGATTTTTTAATTGTCCTTAATTGTTCCATTTCTATAATCATAAAGTCAAATACCCCACTCTAGTAACTTCTACCTTCTAACCTTCCAATTCTTAGTTAACTACTCTTACTGTACATCATTGGTATCTCTTGTCCGTAATCATTTCTTTCACCCTATTGACAGACACTATCAATTTTATTTCCTTTATACAGTTAAAACCCCCAAATTCTTCATGTCAATACATGCCATTATCTGCATCTCTTACCCCGTGGAGCTTCTGAACATCAGTCCAGCTAAACCCCAACTCTAACTAATTCAATTCTCCTCTATAACCACATCAGACTCCTAAGGACTGACACAGGAGGTTTTAAGGACTATATCAAATGTAACCCTGACACTACCAAGCAGTCCTGTTTCCAAAGCTAGAGCTCTCCTTCAACTGGAATTATTTCAAATATCCTCTGAATTCCTTACTTTTGGTCCTGTTTCCTCTGCTCTCTTTTTTCAATAGATGGCTACCTTCACAGAAAAACAGAAGTCTTTCTAGCACTAATCTATTAAATTTACCTGGCCTCTTCTCTTTTGTGTCTTCTTCATCAGTGTTCTCAGAAATTTATATCTCCCTTTTCCTATGTCTCAAGACTCCTAGCCTCATCTCTCACTATCCTCCTCTTGCATCTTAATTTCCTTGCTAAATTCAACTTTCCCCCTCTGGAAATTTGCACATGTGCTTCAGTTTTCCCCACCCTTCTCCTTTATGTGATGAAATTCTGTTCTTCCTTGATGTTCCAGATTTAGCCTCTAATGTAAATCTCCAAATCTGAGTGTGGTTCTCCTTTCATGTGCTCCCATAAACCTTACGAGGTTCAACTATGATTGCTAATTTGTTCACAGTCTTCATCATACTAAACTCCTGGAGGGTAGCAAGTATGTGTCTTAATCACCTTTTCATCTCTTTAACCTAGTAAAGTTTCTGGAATATAGAACAAGCATACAAACACTGGTCGACTCAATAAATAAAAAGCAGTGAGTTAATTTTTAAACAAAAATATATTAATGAGTCATAAAAATGAATGAAGTTCTGCTAAATATTACAACATAGATGAAGCCTGAAAACACTGTGGTAAGTGAAATAAGTCAGACATTGAAGGACAAATACCATATGATTCCACTTACAGAAGATGTCTAGAATAAGCAAATTCATAAAGACAGAGAGCAGACTGGAGGTTAGCAGGGCCTGGTGGGGAAAGGGGAATGGGGAAGTCTTTATTTACCGGGGACAGTTTCTTTTGGAGGTGCTAAAAAGTTTTGAAAATAGACAGTGGTGTTGGTTGCATAACACTCTGAATGCAATTAATGCCACTGACTTGTACACCTGAAAATGGTCAGAATGTCGAATTAAGTTACACATATTTTACTATAATAAAAAAGTATTAGTAAACTTTACATAATAAGCAACACAATAAAAATCAAAGCATAATTACATAAAAAGCAAAGCTTCTTTGATTATCTATATAACAAATATCAGGAAACAGGTTTACTATAAGAAAAGAGTTGTAAAACTTAAGTCCACCCATATCATCTTAAAAATAAGAGAAATATTAGTTTTAAAAAGCAACTTTTTTTTTCATCTGCTGTACCTTCACATCAAATTAAGAGATTTATAGGAGGAGGGTTGTGAGTATAAATATACAGCAGAATTTGATATCTATTCAAACTTCCTGGTATTTATAAATATTCAAATTCAACTATAAATATAGACTTCCTTGTATAAAAGACAAGAGCATCACAAAACAAGTGCATCACAAGACAAGTCAGTGTGGGAAGGAAAGATAAAAACGAGATTTTAAACACTAATTTATTACCTGGAGAGACTTCCTCTTTCTGTCTCACCGTGTGGTCTTTTGTGAATTTTACCCTTTGATGAGCTCTGATGCATGTCTTGCAGAGCCATTCAACACACTCTACACAAAACCCATTAGCTTCCGCATTGTCCTCACAGCTTGTACACACCTAATAAAAGAATATGTCACATCAATTTCTGAGAAAAAAAGAACAGGTGGTCACATGGCTAATCATACAGAAATGATACACCAACAGTACTGAACTCTATCAGTTATCTTCTTAACAGTGTTCATAAATTTAAACTGACATTATGTTTTAAATTATAAATATATAAAGTGGAAATATAAGGACATTGCCCTCAGTTCAAAATATCAAATATTCCAGGCACTGTGCTAAGTGTTGAGGATCCAACAATCAGAAAAGGCAAACATGCCCTTGCCCTTATGACAGCTAGTCTCACGGATGAAGTGTGGTTCAAATCCCAGTTTCCCTGCTTACCAGATGAGTAGTCTTGGGCAGGATACGCAGAATGCCCATCTTTATTTAAAATAAGTGTACTAACATGGACTTTACTGAGTGATTGTGAAGATCAAACGTGAAGCAGTCAAATAGTATTGGAATAATCACAGTAATATATAACTACAAAATTGACACATGCCATACAGGGAAAGTGTAAGAAGGTATAAGCACATATGATGGAGGAAAGTGATCTGATTTCAGGGGCTGAAAGGCTGGGAAAAGTGAGAGGAGCGATTACCCAGGCAAGGCTTTCTCTAAGTCGATCATATTTGCATCAAGATATGAAAGTTGAGTCACTGATTACTGATGAAAGTCTTCTAGGCAAAGAGAACAGCATGTACAAAAGCCTCCTGCAAGAACAAGGCAGGTTCAAAGAACTGAGAGAAAGGCAGTGTGACTGAGGGCGAGATCAAGGGGAAGAGCGGCACAAGGAGGAGCCAGCGGCAGGGCAGGCAGGGGCCAGGTCAAGCAGGGTCACGGGGCAGTTTTGGTCTTTGTCTGAAGAAGTCCCTAAAAACTTTTAAGTAAGTGACGTGGCCAGATGTGCTTTCTTAAAATCACTGTCCCTGCAATGTAGAGATGAGATTAGAATAAGGGCAAGTGTTTCTGCATAGGGTTAAGTAGGAGGCCTTTTCAGTGCTTAGATGACAGTAAGTAGAAGTGGAGATGAATGAAAATTTGGGAATTAAAACTGACTGGTTTAGAGGATGCACTGGATATGGGAGGTGAAGAAGAGTCCGTTTTCATGTTTCCAGCTTGTATAACTGTGTAGATGGTGGCACTAACCTCTGAGAACAGACTAAAGTTACACAATGTATAAGCAGTCCTCATATCATGTATGGTTGGGGAAAAAATTCTTCCCCTCAGTCAGTGGTTTACATTAGCCCAACTCTAAATACCTGGATAACATATCCATAAACCAGAAACTGCCTTTTCTCATCTCTTGCCTTCAACCTTTCATTTGATGCCACTGACTCTTACTTCCTAGAAATCATTCAGATTCCTTGATACTTCCAGGTCCTCTTATCTCCCAGATTGACTTTCTGGTTTCCACCACTACTCTCCCTCCTCAGATTCTGTAGATTTCTGTTAGATCTGGTGAGGGGATTGATCTCATCCACTCCCTCAGCTTTAACTATCACCTCTATAAAGAGGTCACCTAAAACTACATCTCCACATTATATGGCAAAAAGGAGTGAGGTATCTCTACATACATTGCTACGGAGAGATCTCTAGTACATAAGTAAAATTTAAAAGGCAAAGTGTTAAAGCAAATCATAGTACTGCTTATCTAAGAAAGATGGGGATGGGATGACTTATTTGCATAAATCTTAAAATTAATATAAAATTACGATAAACAATAAAAGAAATTAAACGGTTATGTATAAGGTAGAGAAAAAATAAGGTAGATAGGTAGGTAAGACAGAGATAGAAGTTGAGTTCTCTGAATATACCGTTTTATAGATTTTACTTTGCAACCAGCATTATGAATGTTTTATATGTAGTTATACAAGTTTCAATTTAAAAAAACTAAACCCCTATGTATCAAAAGCAAAATGAAACAACTGAACCTGCCTATTAAGTGGTCCATATAGAAAGGAATTATTTATTTCAAGTAACTTAAAAACATGGATTAAGTGTCTCTAATAATAGTAATTGTTGTCTTCTTGCTCTCTGGTTTGAGAGAGACAATTCTATAATTTCTACTTTCAGTACCAACTCTGTTCTTCACTCTTACTCTGCAAACCACATGTATGCTTCCTGAGCTGGCTCCACATGAGATTCTATAGGTGGTGCAGGAGAAAGACTACAATGCCAGAAGAAGAAGGGACTTGATTATCTTAGCTGGCTTCCTATTTGCTTGAGTTTTCTGTGAACATCTGTGAACAATTTCAGATTTGACTTAAAAATACGAATATATACTTGAAATATTTCCCCTTCTCTTTTTAAACTAAAAAGCATTTGTTAAATCATTCTCCTGAAAGTCCTAGAAAAATGACCAACCCAATGGTGATAAGCACCCCTAGCATCCACATTGTGCTCTCTAAATACCACTTCAGCCTAGAAGGAACTGAGGCTCTTAGGATAACCAGCTCCTGCTGGTTCCAGGTGTAGAACAAAAAATGAACAGTATCTTGTCAAAATAGAAAGCAAGGGAGACAGCAACTACTACTGCGACTGTACCAGAAGGACTCAGGAATCAGTATGAGGCTCTCACTGCCAAGTGGGCACGATAACAACTACAATACATTTTATGTTAGATATCCATGAGTGTGTAACAATAAGCCCACACACCCACCACTCAGGAGTCACCTCTGAATAATGCGAAGAAACTAAGTCACTACTCTAAAAATCAGCAACTAAAAGGAGAGAATCAAGCATTTAACCTACCTTTCCTTTATAACCTAAAAATAGATGAAGGAAGCTTTTCTCTTTCTATTCCAGTTTGAGAAATAAAGGGGAAATGACAGAATGAAAACGTTATCATTTTTCAAAGTCCTAATGAAATACGGAATCTTGGCAGTGATCATTAATGGCCATTAACGTCAGAAAAAAGACAACCAAACATCATAGGCCTCCTGCTTGAAACAGACAGACACCTGGATGGAAGTATTCTTATGTCCTCTCACCCAATGGGACTTGAATCTAAACCAATCTAAATCTAAAAATCTACATTTTTATCACCAGTTTACACAAAATACAGGAGACAGGGAAGCATGCTAAATTTTAAATGACTTTATAGAAATGGTCAGCAAAATTCAGAATATTGCTAACTCTACTGGACTAACAACCCAGTTTATCCAACAAATATTGAAAAGAGGAAAAAGAAGGCCAGCAAGGCAAAGGGGTAATTTGAGATTAATTAAAAACATATATTAGAGACAAATCAACCAAATGTACTGTACAGGCCTTACTGGATCCTTACAGAAACAAATGTTAAAAAAAATGACAATAACTAGAAACATCTGCACAAACATCTCAATGTCTGATGATATTAAGGAATTACTGTAAATTTTCTATATATATAAAATTAATCTGGTGGTTATATTTACAGAAAAAAGTTTTATACACATAAATATGGCAATACTTATAGATTAGGTTATATAATGCCTAGGACTAACTTCAACATAATCTAGTGGTAAGGGGACATGTCAAGTTATACATAAAATAAGAGTTAATGACTACTGACCTAGACAATGGGTACCTGGGAGTTTGTTATGCTAATCTGTGTCCCCCCTCCTTTTTGGGGGGTAATGCCTGAAATTATCCATAGTAAAACGTCTCTAAAACTTTATCTCCAGCTATGAACTCTCCTTAGAGCTCCAGTTTGACCAAAGATGACATTTCCACCTAAGTCTTACAGGCAAACTCAATCACATTTAAAACCAACTCTCTACCTGTATCTACTTTGCTGCTCCCTTCATCGCTGTGAAAGTCACCCCAACCTGGCAGTGAGACCTCTCACTTTTCACATCCAATCATGTCTATCGAGGCCCATGTGCATTGTAATTCCCGTACTTCCCTCCTTATTACCACACCACGCTAGTGCTTCCTAGCTCCAATTCATCCTACATTACCATCCGTCCAGTCTTCATTCCCCAAATATCCCTACAAGCACCCTATTCTCAAACCAGATTTAATGCCCTCCCATCCCCACTTGTCCACACTGAAGATATCTATAGGATTCTATTCCTAGTTTAACTGAATACAACTTCTTCCCATTGTGTTTCTGTGACAGAAGAATATGTAAACTTACTGAAAACTAATTGATATACAGAGGCATAAAGCAGCCTCTTATCAATTTTTTAAATCAGAATCCTTTCAGTTCTCATCTCTCACCATTGTCATTTCATGTTATATCATTACTCTAACTTGTTGATTATTTACACTACCTTGCTTTTGAATTTTCTGGACTGAGTATTCACATGTACTACTGGAGTTCACCTAAAGAAGTACAACCGGTGAGCGATATGATTAACAAAGTGTATCTAGTATAAATACAATCACGTACAAGCAGAGTGGCATAACACTCAAGAAGGCTGACACACAATCAGTATCCAGAAAGGAACTTTCAGAGGAGTTAAGTACTGGACTCTGTAGCTCACAGAATTTGTTTCCACCCTTAAAAGCTGGTTTCACAACAATAAGAAAGTTTATTCCCTGCACTAAGCCCTGTTTTAGCCTTTGATAAAGTTCATATTAGGAAGAATTATGGATACTTTTGAAACAAAAAGAGATATTTTAATAGTAGCATCTATGTTCATTTACAGTGAACCCCAAATCCTATAGTCTCCCTAAGAACAAAAAGGTGAAAATAAAAAGTACAGAAATTTAGTTGTGTGATTACTGAAGAGTGCTACTTTTTAGATTTTTACGTTTTAGATTAATAATCATATTTCCATAATCAGATTCAGTTTTTTCACAGGTCTTCTATTCCAAATTAAAGGAACTATCTAGAGAAATCATCAATGAATCATGATCCAAAAGGAGACTATGATACTTGGCACATACTGTAGAATCATTCATAGCTCACCTCCACTGGAGAACTACAGTTCCTCCACTGGGGACCTGACATTTAGATTTAAGGGGCCAAGAGGTACTATATATGGATTAGGAAAGTAGGGAAAAACAAAACAAAACACTGCTGGATCTCTAAATGCAACACCTTGGACAATGCTACCAAATTAGACTTTGAAAGACATACTATGTAGAAAAGGAGACAATCTTAAAATATAGAAACCATGTGATTAAAGACATGGAATTTTTCACATGTATCATTATAGTGCTTATCATTAAAATAAAAAAACTTTACGGGAAGGAGCTTGAAATAAAATAACTGTCAATACACAGTACAATTACAAAGAAATGAAATAAAGTCAAATACAGAATAAGGGTTTTCTCTGCAGGATAGGGAAGTAGGGGTGGAGTAAGGGCCTCTGTATTGGCACTGTTTTATTCCTTAAGATTAATTAGCCATTATTCTCTATACACCTTTAAAATATCACACAACTACACAGATATAATGGTCTAGTAGGTTCAATGTCTTTTATCTTAGAGTTCTTCAGCATTTTAGGCTGCCTCATTAAAAGAAGACAAAAGATTCAAGACTTAATATGCTTACCTGATTAGATTTTTCTACAGTACTGCTGGGAACCTCAGTAGTGTCCTTCACGAAAAAATTATCTATGATGTGTCTCTCTGCACATTCTTGGCTGCAAACTGGACATCGAATGACTCCAACTGGGAAAGATAAAATTGTATTCTAAGTTTTTTTAATATTGATATACAATTGACATAACATTATATTAGTTTAAGGTGTACAATGTAATGATTCATTATTTGTATGTACTGCAAAACGACCACCACAATATATTCAGTTCACATCTGTCAACATACACAATTACACTTTTTTTCCTTGTGCAAAGAACTTTTGATATCCACTTCCTAGGTACTTTCAAAATACGCAGCACAGTATTATTAGCTGCAGTCATCATGCTGTGCATTATGTATCCGCACGACTTACTCATTCTGTAACTGGAAGTTTTTACCTTTTGACTCTTTTCACCAATTTCACCCACCCCTTACCCCCTACCTCAGGCAACCACCAATCCTGCTCTTCTAAGTTGTAATACAATTATACTGAGTACTAAACCAACACCTCATCCAAACTGTAATGGGTTCTTTTACAATGCCTACTCTCTTCAAATTCATACCTGCTGCTACTTAACACAAAGCAATTCACTTTATGTACATATATGAATTTTACATGTGTGACTGCACCTGCACACGTGTACACAAGTGGGGTGTGTGTGTATACACATCCCACACATAGTAGATTAAATGACAAATAAATGCTCATAATTTTAAATGAGATGTCCTTCCAAATAAACATTCCCTTTGTCTGTTCTTTTACTGTTTAGCAACTTCTCTCCCATTGTTTTTCAAATAGGGATGTGCAGAATCACATGGAGATTTCTAAAAGAACGGAGAGTTCTGGTTCTCTACGGAC